GGATCACGAGAGCACACAATGATTGTTATTATATAGTTTAAATGAGGGTAGGCAGAGTTACTCTCTCGAAGCTTGATTCAGGACTTTTTGGCGGGAACGCGAGGAGTGAAGTTGTGTGATTTGTTTTATTTTGTCTATTTAGTGTTTCTTCGGGTTTAAATGTGTGATAATGGTGGTTTATTAACTGTTTAATATCTGTGAAAGTGCACAAATGTGGGAATATGAAACAAAGCCGCTGGACGTAACTTCTCGGGATCCTCCAAAAAGTCCACTGAAAAAATCTTAGTAAATGACCACCATTTTACTGAGATTATATTTCATCCCATTTCATTTCATTTAATTTCATCCCAGTTGATTAATATCTCAAATTAATCATCTTCATTTCATTTCACTCCATAATATCATTTTTCATAAAAATATGAATATAAATTAAAATAAGATATGACTTAAAGGTCTCAGTTACCAGGTCATAAAATCCCTTAAAAAAAGCCTAATTCAGAGAAAAACGTATCAGCACAATCGACACAGTAGAGGGAAGAACATTAAAATATGAGAAACGACCTAAACATAGCTCTCTCAATAGCGAACAACACAAGTAGGTTAGCCGACTGTAAATTTCAGTATTTCTAGGTTCATAGGATATTATTATTACGAATTTTTTTTTAACTTTATAATGCGGTAGTAAATAAATACAGTGTGGCAGTGATTGAAGTAAAAAATATCGGTTCAATTTTTTTCTATGGCTCGAGTCTCTTCTTTGACGAATGACTCTGCCAATGTCAGATAAATAGCCCTAACGCTTTAATTGGAACCCAAAAATAAAATCATCTTTTTATTTCATCCCAATGATCCCGATTTTTCTGTAAATATCTATGGGCTCCAGTAACCACTTAACACCAGGTAGGCTGTGAGCTCGTCCACTCATCTAGCAATAAAAAAAAAACTCGTATTATTTTTAAGCTATTCATAAATACGTACTTATCGAAGCGACCGTGAACGTAGCATTGTCCAACTGCGATCAAATTTACAGTAAAAAGATAAATTAATAAGCATTAGAGGTCCCGTAGTAGTCGAAATTCGACTATAATTGGAATTGTAAGTTTGTACACTATTATGATTGTATTTTATACTTCTATAATCACAAATTTCGCTAAGGCTACCCTATAAAAAATATTAACAAAGACAAACAATATTTAATCTATTCTCAATTTGACAACAGAAGTCAAGAACAAAAGTTTGACAATAAATAGTATGCATGCGTGTGTGCGTCAAATACATGGTATGTAGTGTGTGTAATGTTTTCTTTATTGATTTAATGTATCTTTTATGCATTATTTAAAAAAAATATTAGTATTGTGCACGTCTTCTCTACATTCTCTATAAGTGTGGAAAATTTCATACTACTCCGTCCGCGCAATTTTCGTAAAAAGGGATACAAAGTTTTTGCTCACGTATTAATATATAGATAATAGCACTAAATATGCGTGATGATAAAATCCATGTGCACGATAGGCAGTGTTACAATAACAAAGGTATTATTAGCACGCGAATAATGTAAGCTATGATTCACAATAATAGTGAAAATGTTATTGGAAATACGATAAAACTTTGTTTTCAAAATAGCTTAGTTTTAACACGAAAAAAATGTGATACATAGATAGGAGGGCGAAAGGATTAGGCAAGCTAATTCCTTAATTACGATAACAATATTTAGCCCCACACGGGTAAGAACCGCTAATATGGCTATTTTGGTACGAAGACCTCTTTTGGTGGTAGGACCTCTTGTGAGGCAGCCGTTGTAACTATACTTGAGACCTTAGAACTTATATCTCAAGGTGGGTGGCGCATTTACGTCGTATATATCTATGGGCTCCAGTAACCACTTAACACCAGGTGGGCTGTGAGCTCGTCCACTCATCTAAGCAATAAAAAAAAAAGAAGATATCCGGCTTAAGAAGTGGGACGGCAGTAATATAAAACAATTGAAACTTCAAATTCGTGTCCAAAGATGGCGGCGGGATTTACAATGTGATGTCTATTTGCTCCGGTAACATCTTAGTACCAAGAGGGACGCCAGATCATTTATCCATCTAAAGAAAAATATATTTCTATTTAATTGGATACTTAATACCGCAGATAACAACACATCTAAATCAGCCAGCAACGTAGCACAAGCCAAATTTTGGTTATTTGCGGAGATACACAGGCTAGATCGAAGGTAAGCTGCCTTTGTTTTGGTTTTCGAGTTTAATACGCACTTACTAAAGCGAAAACGTTGCAAGGCTTCGCAAATGAATAATTGCATCCAGCCTATGTGGAGGACAGCGTATTTTCCTTTTTCAGTTTTCAGAACATTAAGCCTTACACATAGGACTGAAATTGATTGAATAGGATTGAAATGTGAAGAATGGCTTTTCCTTAATTCTATTTTGACTAAAAAAATATTCTACGACACAAAAATATTTACTTTTATCTATTCGCATATCCAAGGTTATTTTATTCGTATAAAAACAAAGTTGTGAAGTATATTATGTACTTAAAAAAAAAAACCGGTACATTTAAGATCGATCGACGGTCTTCAACGCGTTATTTAAAAATGCCACGCAAATCGGCCACTGTCATAACACATCTAGGTTGAGGAGTCAGACGAGACGACCTCCGTATGAAGTCTTAATCGATTCCGGAAATTGTTTTTTGCCTCATTTATTCTTATACGCAATTCGCTAGTTTTAAGTTTAATAAGGTGAGTGTAATTTATGTTGGTTCGTAGGTTGGTGGAATGCACTAACAGAGGTTTTTGTGAGAAAAATATTTATTTCCTATAGTGGCGTCGGATGACAAAAACTTTAGTGGTTAGGAAGCGCGCGGCGTTCGTTGCTTTGGTCACAGCAGTTCACAGCGCTGACTTCGTTCGCCTCAGGTCACCGGTCCGAGGCCCCCTCACCTCTCGTTGAACCCCGCGCACTCCCTCTTACAAATCTTGTTATTTTAAAACTAAGCTAAAAATTTGCTAACTTCTTTTAACAAAACGAATTCACCACACAAACATACATACACCAAATATACCAATCACAGCTCCAAATTTATATTTAACGTATCGCTAACAGTGAGTATTGTTTTCAATAAAATATCGGTTAAGGCACAGAGATTATTTACTCGTTAGTACTTATTCCTGTCAACGTTACAGCCATTTACCAAGAAATGTTCTCTAGCACGTACTTCGAGTAAAGCAAAACGAATGAAGGCCTTGTAAACCTAACAACTACCGTCAAATGGTCATCACGACAATGGACCTGAGCAGTGCTGAAAATATAAGGCATGAACAGCTTCTTCCTAACTCAAGAGAAACCAAGTCTTTTAAAAGAAGAATTTGAATAATGATCACGCACGATAATAGCAGGCAAAAGGACGTGACCTTAGTTTTCTTGTAGAAAAACAAAGGCGACACATCTCACAAGGAAAAGTTGAACGATGATGAACCTGACCTAATTGATTTCAATTCAACACCGGAACGAATTCAAGGTGCGCCTCATTAAGGCCGCACTTGGGCATGCAACGCCTTACATACCTAACTACGTTCATTTCACGAATTAATTCTGAATAAAACCGTATTAATAAACGACTTTATAACTTTTTTTGGATTAATACATTGCTGGTGTCGCAGAACCCTCTCCTTGGGAGTGTTCGTTTCCTTTTCAATACATCGCATTATTATTTCAACTTAAATACCATCAACCGTTGGTACTTGTTGAAGTTCGTTGTTAACTCAACCATAGGTTCTAAGAGTTACAGCTCAGAGAAGCACCGGCGCGGCGGCGGAACAAACACTGCGGACATGTCTTTTTTTTCATATCGTGTATTTAATAATTTATTGATATTACAATGATACAAATAAAAAAAAGAGATATCACATAGTTCAGATAACTAAATCGACCAGTAGCGAGAGCCTCAATCGCACCGTCTCTCACTCAACGCCATCAAATAAAAATCTGAACTTTATAATACGTCTTTAAGCACTAATTTTCCTTGACAGATCTCTCCAATCTATAAACTAGTAGTAATTGAAGGTTTTATGTATAGATATAGCATATAAAAGATATTCCTTCGTAATTTTTCGGAAAAGTTCGTATTTATCGTGCTCTCTCAAATAACTTAAGTACAATGACATTATTCATTTTGACATTTGACACTAAACAATAAAGTTCCTTATTAATTGGATATGAATATGTCACTCATTTAATACGATCATTCATTGACAGTTCGAGTGTCATCGTATTCCGATAAAGATCCGAGTTTTCCCGAAGGAAAATAATTTCTCACTACATCTATCTATATCTTGTAGACAATGCGCACACAAAGCCTAGGGGGCTTGCAAAAGAGTTGCCTACTACATATTACAAATACCGCGGCTGACAATGCAGGTCTATACTTATTCCTAGTCAATATTTTAACGCGCAATTAAATGAAATTTTTAAAAATATATTGTGAAGGTAAATTCGTAATTTTATTCTCCTTAAAATTTTACTCCTTTAGAAAATTATATAATATAAGTTGCTAACAAACAGCTAACATAGTCAAACTTAACAGCTTGTAAATGTGTAATGCGAATTTACAGTATGTTTGCGGTTATATTGATTTGTATCGTCAAAGCCTCTAATTTACTTATCGTATCTATCGTTATTCGAACAGTCTCGAAATATACATAACTAGCCGTACTCGCCCGCATCACTGGGCATTTAAAATTAACATCATTATTTATTGTCATTATTATTAGGGAGTCCAACACTCATATAAATATTAGCCTATCCATTAAGTACATGTATTTTTTACATGGATACCAAGTTTCAAGTCAATCGTATGCATGGTTCAATAGTTATAACGGAACATCCGCAAAAACCACTGTAGATTTATATATTAGTATAGATTATATCTGTAAAGACCTCATCGTAACAATACAAAATTATGCAACACCTTTTTTTTGTAAATTGAACTCTACGTACCCTTGAAACAGGAGCGCACCGGCCGCACGCCAGTCCAGCTGGGGGCCTCGTCTCCGGTTGCGGCGCTGGAACCACGGGGCTCTCTTTCACTCTATACAGAGACGTCGTACGAACCTAAAAAGTGAATCAAAGTTCATCTTTATCCCATACCATTAAGTTCTAGAATGAACTAACAATCAGGTGAGCCGTATGGTCATATATGCCTATGAGGACAATAAACACAAATAAAAACTTAATTCCACAAATAAAGACACCATTTACCTATACGAAAATTCGGTATGACAGTGACTGCTGAATGTAAGTATAGACCAAATGGTTTAAATAAAAATTAAAATAAATAATAAAAAACTGAAATAATGGTGTATAAAACAATAAGCGATTTGAATTTTATATTTCATATTGTAAGATCCTATTTCGTTTAACTATTATTTTTGGAGTCGCAAGGTTTGTTTGTTTTTTTTATGAAATACAGATTACTGGCGGCCCGGAGGCTTGTCCAATTTCTCCAAGACAGGTGGGCGAACAAAGGCTCAGCCGGGAGGAGCGGACTTTGCTAAAAGCTGCCCGAGCGCCTCCGAAAGAGATCTAACAGCTTAAGGACAACTGCTTCGCGAATGCATCTACCATCGGAATGCATCGGAATCACGATCCGCTGAGAAGATCCGACGAGAAACTCAGCGGATTGGTACTACTGTATAGATTAGGTTGCACGTCGAACTCTTTGCCGAATTCGACGACTACGGTTACCAGAATCCCTAAGCCTGTTCGCAAAGTTTATCTTCACCGTCATACAGACACATGTAAACCGAAGATTAGACAAACTGGCTGTTTTCTTTTTTTATTGCTTAGATTGCTGGACGAGCTCACAGCCCAACTGGTGTTAAGTGGTTACTGGAGCCCATAGGCATGTACAACGTAAATGCGCCATCCACCTTGAGATATAAGTTCTAAGGTCTAAGTATAGTTACAACGGCTGCCCCACCCTTCAAACCGAAACGCATTACTGCTTCACGGTAGAAATAGGAGGGGTGGTGGTACCTACCCGTGCGGACTCACAAGAGGTCATACCACCAGTATCAAAACACCTGTGTTAAGAGTAGGAAGTGACAGATAATTTATTAGTAGACAGGAGTATTTTGGATAAGATAACGGAAATTAATTTAATTTTACCGTATTTCCTATTCTGGGCAAGAATTACTAAATAACTTTGACATTAATGCAATGTAGCATAATGTAAAAAACGACCACCACATCACTCGTAGTTTTACAGTTTCGGCGAATAAGAGGAAGCAAAATCTGCGGACACGCAACGTAATCTCGCAATGCAACACCGTTTTAAATGTTACCACACAATATACGAATAACACCTCAAATTACCACACACATGAACACGAGTAATGACACAACACCACTCAAGTTATGAAGGATCGTTAAGAACATTAAGCAAAGTTAAATCATTTTGGACTATTTTTACGAATTCAGTCGTAATAAAAATTTAAATAAGCGGCTGTCTGAAATTTTAAGAACGCTTACAGAATAATACTTCACACCCATATTCCGGCAGTAACGCAGGACAAAAAGATGATAATTTAAATACGTACAAGCAAGTTTACGTCGGTAAGCCGTTTCTGCTGGCATCAATTTAAGAGCCGTAATGTTGATGTCTGGCTTTTTTTATGTGCGCTGTTTTAGCTTTTTGAAGTTATACTTCTTTAGGCGCGTTGTGAAAAATTGATGAGAGTGAAATTTTACGATGCGCGCGCACCGTGACACAAAATTTGTCAAACGCTCATTACAATACGACCGACGTAACTTGGCAAGTCTGAATATAGCCGCAGGTAAACTTTCGCGCATGTACACTCGTAAAAAAAGTGTTATTAGCATTGATTTTTTAGTATATAAATGACAAAATTATTATTATAACTTCTTACGCGCGTACATAAGTACACGCACCCTTTTTTTTATTGCTCATGCAGGTAGACGAGCAGCCCACCTGATGGTGAGTGGTTACCATTGCTCATGGACGTTGGCAATGCCAGAGACCGAGCCAAGCCGCTGCCTACCAATCTGCTTCGATCGCTAACAGTAAAGTGTGATTTAGTATTGAATTCAATTAACGATATTTTCAGGTGTTAAAGTAATAGAAAAACGTTTTGAGATTTAGGATCTCAATAGTAGATATCTAATCTTTAATATCAGAAGACTAAGAAATAAAATTCAATTCTCAAGGTGTACATCTCATAAATTGGACAGTACAAAATGCGAAATAGACGTTCGTCTCACAAAAACCACGCTATTACGATTCGACAAAAAAACTATAATAGCCTTTTTTTCTCTTCCTTATCCCATTTTAGGTGTGGTCGGCTTACGTGTATAAATTTTACTTTATTTTACTGGTGGTAGGACCTCTTGTGAGTCTGCGCGGGTAGGTACCACTACCCTGCCTATTTCTGCCGAGAAGCAGTTTCGGTTTGAAGGGTGGGGCAGCCGTTGTAACTAGTATAGACTTGAGACCTTAGAACTTATATCTCAAGGTGGGTGGCGCATTTAAGTTGTGGATGTCTATGGGCTCCAGTAACCACTTAACACAATGTGGGCTGTGAGCTCGTCCACCCAACTAAGCAATAAACAAAACAAAAAACACAAAAAATAATGAGGTAGGAATTTACTTTTACACTGCCTCGTAGGCAAAAATAATACGCACAAATATAATGTTTACAAAGCCATCTGTTCTCTATGGGTGAGACTATGGATAAGCCGGTTTTGCATCAAAATTTATTATGTTTTAAGTAAATTGCAATATATAAACGCGAATATGAAAAATTGTGGGTTAGGCCACTTTTGTACTGACGGCCTCATATTATTATACGTTATTACATACATATTACTATAGATTTTTTTATACTTTTATATCACTGTTAATAAGATAACCCACCTTGAAATACGAGGTCAAATCTCAATTTTATTATACTATATCAACATCTGAATTATTTAACGGATTACAGATTTATTTTCCATATATTAAACGCTATCTCAATAGCAGAAATACAATTAGAAATAACACATACGGCATCCAGTTAACACAGCTGTCAACCTGTGAATCATATTACGTTAATATGCCTGGTATGTATGGTAAGAATTTTTGCTAAAGAGCCGCACGTGTAGTTACTACCATCCTGTGTATTATTTTAACATTTTGAGCAGCGAAATATTCGTGCGCTCCCACCGTAGGAGTTGCTGGTCTTATTGGAGGTAGGGCGTCTTGTGAACCCACACGCTTAGGTATCACCACCCTTCTTATTTCTGCCGTGAAGCAGTAACTCGTTTCGGTTTGAAGGGTGGGGCAGCCGTTGTAACTATACTTGAGATCTTAGAACTTATATCCGGTGGTAGATTCTGCGAAGCACGGCTCTTGCTAGGGTTCGTGTTAGCAACGTTGTCAGGTTTGAGCCCCGTGAGCTCACCTACTAGTTAAAGTTCCGCTGATATAGCCTCTCAAGGCTATCAGCTTAGGTAGGAAAAAAAAAAAAAGTATCGAACGGGAAATGAATCCTATGTGTTAACTATCGCGAGAGATAACAAAATAAATACGATTGTACAAATATCTTGATTGAGCTTAAAAGATTCTGAAATATATTTTAATTGAATCTTAGAAACAGACAATTGTATCAAAAATCTTTTTTTTTTTTAAAACCCCGCATTCAAATTAGAACTTATTTATAAATAAAAATCTTTAAATCTCACACAAATGAATTGTATTTCAATTGTATTCATATTTAATGTAATGTAATTCATATATGTATACCTATTATAAATGTGAACATATCTACTTTAGTAACAAATGTCACAAAAATTAACTTAAGTTCCTTTTTTCTACTTCAACTTAATTGTTCTCTTCATTATGATTACTTATAAAATAATAATAAATCACTAATTGTGTGAAAAACATGGATTTCTTGAAACTATTCAAACGAAATCTGTTGTACTATGAACGAACATTCGCTAATTTGGCAACAACTGTACCAATTTTGATCACTGTCAGATGAATGCTTTAGAAACTTGAAAAGGACATACAAGTATACACTTTGAATATAGATAAGATAAAACATTATAACGATCGAGGTATAAAGTCGGATATCTATCTTCGGTTCCCTCTGTATTTTGTACCGCATGTTCCATGGGGAGTACTCTGAGGAATTGTTCGAGATGACACCAACGTCTCGTTTTTACCATCGCACCGCCCGCCACCGGAGTAGAGTTCATCCATACTACCTGGAGCCACTGCGGTCATCCACAGTGCGTTTCCAGAGGTCTTTTTTGCCACGTACCATCCGGCTATGGAATGAGCTCCCGTCCACGGTGTTTCCCGAGCGCTATGACATGTCCTTCTTCAAACGAGGCTTGTGGAGAGTATTAAGCGGTAGGCAGCGGCTTGGCATTGCTGAAGTCCATGGGCGACGGTAACCACTACCATCAGGTGGGCCGTATGCTCGTCTGCCTACAAAGGCAATAAAAAAAAAAAAGATTTCCTGCAGCAATAATCTAATAATAGATGTAGAAGCACCAGGAAACTTCAAAAAAAAAAACACGAATACGGAGTACATAAAGATTTGCAAAAATTATCCGACATCCTGCTACACGTTAAGAAATTTACATGATAATTACTTAAACACACACATTAATAAAATTAATTACTTTTGTACTACTAATGTACATTTTTATTGAAGTAAATGCTAAACACCTGTGTACTCATTAAAACTATAAAATATGATAAATATTTTATATACATTAAGTCTAGCTGTTAAATTATATTTTAGTATACAGAAAAATAGTCTTATTCTACTAATAATTTTTAATTCAATCATTCAAAATATGGTATGGATCTACCAAACTTATGGTATCGGATCAGCGCAATGGTAATTTTACAAAGTCCTTCTCGAAGAAATCATTTCTACGAGAGCCAACAAACACTTCAAAGTCATTTTGTGCTACCGCTCGGTGTGGAATTATTTCTCTGCCAAAAAGTTGTCCAAATTTTGAAAAGAAATACGCTGATTGGCGCAAAATTTACAACCCTTTCTCTTCTAGTTTGGAGTCCTTCGGTTGTGCCATATGAGATTGAGCGTTGTTGTAAAAGAGCTATGGAGAAGAGCCAAGCCAACTAAGACTGAGCGGAGATTCGCGAGCTTCTCGAACATAGTACACATATACACTAATGCTGGTGCCATTTTGTAAGTAGCTGTGATGAATTAATGCGGCACTAAACCACCAAACAGTGACCATGACTTTCTCAGGGGTAAAGTTTCTTTTAAGACATTGTCTAGGTGCTAAACCAGGGTCTACTCAACATGATGACCGCTTACAATTCTCACAAAGATTCCGCCCGACCGACGGATTGTTGAGGCGATCGTCGACGATCAACGACGTCGACCTCCGCGGTACGGCTCCAGCAGGCCGCCCGGGCAATGCCGTCGGTGTTCCGGAATAACCCGCTGGTTCTGACCAGCCTGCCGTGTCAGAACGCGATACACCGTCGACCGGTAGCAGGACAGCTTCGACCCCCTGAGGTTGCCTCGTGACTTTTACCAAGAGGAGTCTGCCTCCTCAAAGGGGCCGGAGCTGGACGAACGCCCTCCTCCGAACCCCGGCTTGGCGGCGGCGGCACAGCGCCGAGAAGGAAGAAGAGCTCTCCCTCTCTCGTTCCGCCCCCTCAAGCAACGTAAGGCATTGTAATGGCCTCTTAGGCTACCAAAGATTAGGCAGAGGCAAAAACATAAACTACCTTTCAAATGAACAGTAATGCAAAACAACAATTAAAAACTAGATAAAGACCTATTAGGACTCCTGTTTCAGAGTTGATAGCGGCATCACGCTAGCGATATCTGTGCAGTGGAGATAATGATCAATGAAAACTTACAGCAACGTCAGCGTCGAGCTTGGCATACATGTCGGCATTTTGTTGTCTCCTGCGGGCACGCACTGCCTGCCGCAGCGAGCCAGACTCTCGTCCGCACCATCCCCCGACCCTTTCCCCAAGCACCTCCAACATATCCGCTACCCGACTGCAACAACAAGAAATTGTTATCAGCACTGCTATATGTAACTCACTTAGTTACGAACTCAGTTCAAGACTGGTGGTAGGACCTCTTGTGAGTCCGCGCGGGTAGGTACCACAACCCTGCCTATTTCAGCCGTAAAGCAGTAATGCGTTTCGGTTTGAAGGGTGGAGCAGCCATTGTAACTATACTGGGATCTTAGAACTTATATCTCAAGGTGGGTAGCGCATTTACGTTGTAGATGTATATGAGCTCCAGTAACCACTGAACACTAGGTGGGCTATGAGCTCGTCCACCCATCTAAACAATAAATAAAATAAAAAGTTTAGTCGAGGCAGATAATTTAGCATAATAATTTAGTGGCTAAAAACGCCAAACAAATGTCGAGAAGTTTGGTTATTTATTTAGCTGTGTTCATTATCACTAGGCGCTGCCCCAAATATATTTTAACGCTTTCAATTTTGTTATCGAGAAAATTTGAATTCCTATGTAATGTAGGTAAATCTCTATTTCGTGAAACCGAGCTTTAAAATATAGTACATATCGACGCTTGAAAGGCAAACGTGACTAAGCGACAATGCGTGAACTTTACAGTAGACTAATTTAAAGTTGAAATACCTGAAAAAAATTATATTTTAACGAATCTAGCTGTAGGATTGAAATGATTTTAATAGACCTAGAAATATATTTTTTTTTGCGCATCGAATATGGTTATTGCCTATCATTTATGTATAAAGCAGTTATTGTCGCTTAGTCACGTTTGCCTTTCAAGCGTCGATATGTAGTTTAAAAACTATATTAAATCACACGCATAAATAGCATACCCAACGGACCATTAATAGCATTTTTTTATTTTATTAGTAATACTGATAACAGTATTAAAGCGTTATGGTATTGACATCGATCTTGAGTCTTGATGCGTGTGCAAATTTTCAAGTACCTTAATTTCACTATGAAGTCGGTATAAATGACGTTCAAATATTCCGTTCCAAACAAACACAGCACAAAGCTTTTAAAAGCGTGTTAAAAAAAGAATAGCAGTCATTGTGAAGACTCGTCTACACGATACACGATTATGGTCCTAACGATTTTTAGCAATTTACGACAGAAAATTACCCACATTTTTCGAATAGAGCTGAAGCCTGGTTTGGGTAAATTGATTTCGTGGTGAAAAAAAAAGTTAAAACATTACTAGAAGTGGTTCAACATAGATAAAACTTCGAAAATTTTTAGGTAATTACTTTTTACTGGTAAGTAGTACGTCGTGTGAGTCTGCACGGGTAGGTACCACCACCCTGCTTATTTATGCCGTGAAGCAGTAATGCGTTTCTATCAAACTAGCTAACTATCAAACTGAGACTCAAAATTCATGTTTCAAGGTGGGTGACGGCACTTACGTTGTTGATGTCTATGGGCTCCGGTAAATGCTAAACACCAAGTGGGTCGTGAGCTCATCCACCCGTTTTAAGCAATAGAAAAAGATAACAATGCTCACATAGCAACCTTTTCGCAAAAACTTCATATTTCAAAAACACCGTTTATTAAAAATTCCTATAGTCAGCGTTAAAAAAACCGGCACAAAAATTCAGAATCATAAAAATAATGAGTGCTCCCATCTAGCTCATTATCTACTGTTGAATATGAATGTTATCGGTAAAACTCAATATGAAACGTAATTAAGACCGCAGCTTACGGGTTCATCTTGCCCGTGACTTCAGATAATGTTAAAATATTAAAAACGAGACCGCTTTCTTCTTGCATTGCTGCTTAGAAAGAGTTGACGTCTTATTGGAAAAGGAGTATAAAGGTTCGAAAAGATTAAGCTGTACTCTTTTTATCGAATGGTTCAATTAAAATTTGAAAGGATTTTATAACAAAACTAGGAGATGTAGGACTAAGAGAATGTGACTAGGAGATGTATGGAAATGGTAGTTCAAGGTAGAGGGGGAAGAGGTCGAACGAAGAAGACATGGATGGAGTGTGTGAATGACGATGAGAGAAAGAGAGAAGTGAGTGTTGAGCTGACGGCTGATAGAATGAAAGAGAAAAATTAGCTGTGCCGACCCCACCTAGTGGGATAAGGTAAAGAAAAGAAGAAGATTTTATAACAAAACGGTACCGATACTGACAACTTAATTCATTGAGCTATTATATATGAAGCGAATCAACTTTCTTACACACTTTTACTGGTGGTAGGACCTCTTGTGAGTCTGCGCGGGTAGGTACCTACCTATTTCTGCCGTGCCGAAGCAGTAATGCGTTTTGGTTTGAAGGGTGGGGCAGACGTTGTAACTATACTGAGACCTTAGAACTTATATCTCAAGGTGGGTGGCACATTTACGTTGTAGATGTCTATGGACTACAGTAACCATTTAACACCAGGCGGGCTGTGAGCTCATCCACCCACCTAAGCAATAAAAAAAAAACACAGACGGATAATATATTCACGAAATTTACCGTATGTGTTCTCCCTCGCCCGATTACTGTATTACTATCATCATTATAATATTTATGCCGCTAGTTCCGAGTTTCATTAGCATTAGACCTGAATACACGGTTTACACGTGTTGCTGATGTACGCATTGATTAGTGCACAGCCAAGATATAAGTGCAAATATCTGTCTTACTACTACTGTAATATTAGCGTTTCATTCTCGTTACGGGCATAATCATATAAGGCTATGTTTAATATTGGACGATAAAATAAATTCGTAACTACACGAAAGTTCAATTTTCGTTTAACATTTAGCTCCTATATCACCAACGAAATTAATTTAAGAAGTTATTTAAGATATTATGATTGTATTTTATACTTCTATAATTACAAAATTCGCCACTATAAAAAATATTAACAAAGACAAACAATATTTAATCTATTCTCAATTTGACAACAGACGCCAAGAACAAAAGTTTGACAATAAATAGTATGCATGCGTGTGTGCGTCAAAACATGGTATGTAGTGTGTGTAGTGTTTTCTTTATTGATTTAATGTATCTTTTATTATGAATTATTTTAAAAAAATATCAGCATTGTGCACTTCTTCTCTATATTCTCTATAAGTGTGCAAAATTTCATACTCCTCCGTCCGCGCAATTTTCGTAAAAAGGGACACAAAGTTTTTGCTTCACGTATTAATATATCGATAGCATTTTTTTGCAAAAGGTTCATTATTTGTTGCGGATAATACATGATTCTAATGTCTTTTGTTCCTGTACCTACTTACTATGTTCACGAAGACGAGTACACATCGATAAATTTGTCATCAAGGCTATTCTAAGTTTTATGACATACAGGTATCGCTTTGTTGCGAAAATAAACATTTACAACAAATAAAGACTAAATGAGATTACCAAAAAAAATTAAAAACTTTGCTAAACCGGAAACATCTTGAGAACAAACAGCAAAAAGTAAACGAAAGATATTATGAAACTTTATCCCAGAAACTAACAAAGAACAACGTCAAATAAACATAGAAGAGAATAACTAGCTGAACCCGTCCACTTCGCTGGGCATTTAAAATTAACATTATTATTTCTCACCCCCACAAAGATTCTCATCATTAACGCCCCCGCAACTGGTATAGGGAGTCCAACACTCATATAAATATTAGCCTATCCATTAAGTACATGTATTTTCTACATGGATACCAAGTTTCAAGTCAATCGGATGCATGGTTCAGTAGTTATAACGGAACATCCGTAAAAACCACTGTAGATTGATATATTAGTATAGATGTAAGGGATTCCGAATTGGCTCGCGATAAAATAGGGAAAGATTATCTTCGATTTGAAATATTCCGGAGATCGGAGGATTTCAAATCTTCGATGTGCAGTCGCGTCAAGTATTAGCCAGATGGAAAGGCTGCTCAGTAAAATGGAATGCGTCATTCTTGATTTCGGACTTAAATATAACAGCAGCAAGACAAAGATCATGATTGTCAACAGTGTTAATAAATAATAACTAGCCAGAGGTCACAAAAATTGCGAACTGTGATATCAATGTATATGATTGTAATATACATATACACAAGAAAAGGCGCGGTACACGAGGAATAATGATGTCTTATGAAGCGCACCACCACCTGAATTCATGTCCACAGCCATACCAAGAATGCAAATGACTAAGCAGTAAGAAGAAGACTAAGGGAAGCCTATGTCGAAAGAAAACCAGACAAACAAATTGATGAAAAACGTCAATATACACTTAATATTCTATTTTATATTTCACTCATTATTACACTATTTATGTAAATACTCGTGGTCAGTGAACGAAGCCTTTATCTATTTTTTTATTGAGAATATAATAATAAACTATATACATATTATTTAGCCCACGGACGTCCACTGTTGGATATAGGCTTCCCCTAATAATAATTTATTTTAACAGATTGTTATGTACATTCTTTTGAATACTGAATACAATTGGAAATGTCAACAACCGGTAAATTATGAAGGCATTCAATCTCTTTATTACTTTGTCTTAAACACTCAAGTGTGTAGTTTAGTAAGTATAGTTTACTCATATTTATGTCCTTGCTGGCAAAACCATAAAAGATCAGCAATACATAAATCTATTATATATATAAAAGAAAGTCGTGTTAGTTACACCATTTATAACTCAAGAACGGCTGAACTGATTTGGCTGAAAATTGGTGAGGAGGTAGCTTAGAGCCAGGAGAAGGACATAGGATACTTTTTATCACATTCCCGTAGGACGTGACATAAAACGTGGTATAACAAAACGCAACTGATATGGAATAACAAAACGCAAGTGACAGCTAAACGTTCTATGGTTAAATTTTGAAGTTGACCGGTTGATGTGTTTGAAACAAACCGTGTGGCGGAACAAAGCTCGCCGGGTCCGCTAGTTCATTATATTTTTATGTTTGAATTGAATTACCTTCACGAATCTGTACATTCATTCATTTTAGCAAAAAAAAAAAATTATAAACTTATTCAACTCACATAATATTCATGTCTTAATCATAATGAATTACAGTTTTTTCTTAGATTTGCGGTATATTTATTATGTTTTTTTTCTTAATGCTACATAATTGCTGTAATTTGTCTATTTAATTCGTTATGTATTATATATTTGAATTTTTTTTTTCTTTAGTGTGTAATGTTTATTCCTACTGTAATGTTTATTCCTTCTCATGTTACTCTAAGTTTTGGCAATTTTTTTATGACCGGCCGCCTGCCTGACGTCAACCCTCCTTGGGAATGCTTTGTGAACCTTGGGCCGAGGTTTTATTGGCTTTGGTCTTTCTTTGGCTATTAGTCGCCTTCTACGACACCCATGAGCTAAGTTCGGGTTGGGGGTATTCTTCCTAAGAATACTCACGGGGAGTGAGCGAAGAAATGGTATATGATAGAAGAGTATGGAAGGAGAAAACATGTTGCGCCGACCCCAGGTAACTGGGAGAAGGGCAGGATAATGATGAGTGTGTAATGTTTATTTATATTTTACCAAAAATAACCTTCTTTAATTGGGAAGGAGCTCCAAATTTTATCTGAGTACGTTTTTATTATAAGAAAATTAGGAATCGATTAAATCTAGTGTTGAGAGTAGTAGTGATGTAACAAAAAGGTTCTTACTCCACTTAAAATGTTCTTTATTCAAAATCTAACATGATAGTATCGTTTTATTTATTTATTTATTTATTTTATTTATTTATTTATTTAATAAACAATGTTTCAACAGCATTTAACTAGACACAGGGTACAGAGGATGTTTTCCCAAACATGAGCCAATTAAAGAAACACATTATGTTTCCAAAAAATTTTAACATAATTAATGAACACAGGTAGTTCAACTAAGGTAAGACAGTTAAATAGGTAGGTAGATTTTAAATTAATTATTGACATTGTAGACAGTTATGAGGGATGAGCATGCGGGTCATTAGATGTTAAGTAGTCACCGTCGCTCACGGACATTAGTATTGCCAGGGGGCTTTATGTTATACCCAATTTCTATAAGGTTATCAAAAAAATATAACTGCTGCCTAAATATAATTTACAAAACAAAACGTAAGTAACAACCCAAGTATAATAACATTAATAACCCTATTATGTACAAAACTTTACGATATCTCGAAATCAATAGGCGATTTGAAAAAAAAGCAGCAGAAGATAGAAGGCTTCTTACTTATTGCGTTCAAATAAATTAGTATTTACAGATATACAAACCTGGAAGTGAAAAACCAGTAGAGTATTGCGGTGAAGATGGCCACTTCAGCGGCACCACTGGCCACCCTCACATGCTCCACCACAGTCCACACGCTGATCATCGTTTCCATCACGTCAGCTTTCAGTTTTACATCACCACCGGTCAAGTTCCACGACAGGCTTACTGCGCTAATCTTGACTAACACTTTGTCTTTCACGAATTTCTAATATCACTAGTTTTTGCTTGCTAAATCCACTTTAATTTCATTAATAATATCAGTATGGAAGTTAATGTTAAATTATTTATATTTAAATAATTACATAACTTCAATACTTTCTAAAAGTAAAAACTTTTTTTCATATGACATATGTCGTTATGTGATTACAAAAAAATACCGTTGTGTTAAAATCAAACGCGTACTGCCTCGACGGCAGTCAGAATGCTAATGACAAACCAAGTCATAATTATCACGAAGTTGTTGGACGCGCGGCAGAGCATCCATTGGAAGCTTTAATATATAACATTGACACTAACAAAGCATGCGGGGTTGTTGTGGAACCAGTAAATGATACGACCTAATTGGTGACCGATAAACCAATGACCTAAGTACAGGACAAAGTTCGCGTGACCAGATGTGCGATAGTGACGGAAAAATTCACGTGAACAATGCCAGATTGTTTCATAATTATCTATCTGTTTGTGAAGTTAGATAATTATTTTATTCATAATATGAGCGTTTTATGCAACAAAATCTTAAGAGCTTTCGTTTTGTGTTAAAGAATTAGAGGCTAAATCGCATGATGAATTTATCAGTCGTGAGATAATCTCATAGTCGATCCTGGAGCACGTACCTGGAGTAGGCAGGTATGCCAATGTCATCACTACATATTATAAAACAAAGGCGCTTTCTCTGTCCCTATATCCCTATGTATGCTTTAAAACTACGCAACGGATTTTGATGCGGTTTTTTTTACTAGATAGAGTGATTGAAGAGGAAGGTCTATATGTATAATAACGATGGTAGGACCTCTTGCGAGTCCGCACGTGTAAGTACTACCGCCCTACCCATTTCTGCCGTGAAGCAGTAATGCGTTTCGTTTGAAGGGTGGGGCAGCCTTTGTAACTATACTGAGGTATATCTCAAGGTGGGTGGCGTATTTACGTTGTAGATGTCTATGGGCTCTAGTAACCACTTAACACCAGGTGGGCTGTGATTTCGTCCACCCACTAAAGAAATAAAAAAAAAATGTGGAGGAATCAATAATAAATTACAATTTCCGAAGCGAAGCGAGGGCGGGTCGCTAGTAGGGTATAAAAACCACGCGGCACCGAGGGCTCATCTACTTAAACATAGGGAAAAAAGTATCTAATAGTGATCATCGTGACGAAAAATTTAAGTTGAGACAAATTTCTAAGCTTCTTAGTAACCTATCAAAAGAATGTATTTTTTTTAAACTTGGTATTTATCATGCTATTTCAGTTTTTTCATCAAAATATGAGAGATGACGCGCAAGTATGGGAATGTGTCCAAGTTTTTTTAATTTTATTGTTTTTATTATTTTACTTATAAATCTTCTATTATTTTATACTATTTTCATATTTGTTCTCTAGACTTACGCTATTTAATTTGACAAGTACAGAAAATGGACCTTTTATAACAAGAGAAAGGTCGATCCATAAAAAAAATATGCACATTATCATCATTACATTACGTGTGCAGATCACAGGGTTCAAAAGGTGTATTAATAAGAATCGATATCATGTGTCCGATAATTCGTTAAATTAACACCCAACGATAACTCACTGTGAACTTTGGATGTGGCGTGATCGCTCACCGAAAACCAGTTTGTAATGTAAACGGTAGTATGTGTGACAATTTGTTTTTATTTTCTACAAATAAACGAAGGCCTCACAAAATCAATATAAACTGCTTGGGGCCAGCGTGATAGACAAATTGGACGACCGATTATTGGATTGGAATAGTCGATCTTTAGTACAAGATAAAAAATTAAAATCCCGACAGCACATAAGTATTTTATCACGTATGTAGGCAATCGAATAAACGCCTTTATCCAACAATAGAAAACACACGGCTAAAACAAAAAAAACTGTATAATTATTGCTATTTAATGAAACCATCAACATTTCTATTTGTTTTCTATTTATTATTGTAACTATACGTGAGACCTTAGAACTGTTATATAAATATGGGTGTTGCATTTACGTCGTAGATATCTATGGGCTCCAGTAATCACTTAACACCAGGTGGGCTGTGGGCTCGTTCATCCATCTAAGCAATAAATAAAAAAAAAACGAAAAAGATTTTTTTAATCCCCAAAAGTGAATTCAAATCACAAAAAATTTAAATTGGCAAAAGTTTTTAAATAGAGATAGATGTGTCTTATCATTTTCTTTCACGTTCATAAACACGTTTCATTTCTTCCAATTACCATTCCTATCTGAGGTCATCGACAAAATTCAATTTGCATTTTTTGCGAAATTTATTATTGGTGCTGGATTCCAAGATTACGTGTTCCAATTTAATGATGTTAATTTTCTTGCTGTCAATCCTTGCCTTTTTTTATATACTTTTCGTAAGACTAGATGGATCCGTAGTTCTTAGATAACACGTTTAGAACCGCTGGGTCTACGACTGGTCTTCGGTTCTCTGTTTATTTTAATACTGCACGTTCCATGGGAAGTGCTCTAAGAAATTGTTTGAGATAATTCCGTCATCTCGTTTTAACGGTCGCAACGACCGCCACTACATCAGAGCTCATCCGTACCACCCAAACACTAACACTACGCAATCGGCCACATTTCGTTCGTCAGAAAATACGTGACGTCTGGGGGCCCTGGGATCTTACTCTATATACAATGCCTTTCTAGAGATATTTTTCTCCTTTCAAGCAATAGTAACCACTCGACCTCTGATGGACCATATGCTCGACTGCCTACAAAGACAACAAAAAAAAACCAAACAGATTCAAATATTTAAGGAAAAGGCCAAGAGGAATCAATAGTTAGAGAATTTAAGTAAATAGACGTTTCACATTTTACGGTTTATGATGAACAAGTGCCCGTACTTTGTATAACAAACATATTTAACAAAGATACTGACTCCTGGGTGTTGTACCTGAACCAGTTGTACAGTATCCAAGAGTCACTAGCAATTACACCAATAATGCGATCAAATAAATAAGGAATCGGGTAGCTTCACTAATTAGTTAACGCTGTCAACAGTGTTGTATACATTCAGGTCGGCGTAAATAGACACAGCACACAAAAGCAGAATCAGCGTTGGCTCGTAGTTAATTAGTAGATTCATTATATTATTCGTTGGCTGCCCACTTAGGTGCATTACAATGAATCATTCGAATACTATTGTAACCAAATGAGCATTTGAAAACCGTGGTCTGATTTTGGGTAACGAAATAGGGACACTCGGATCGAACGTTGTTGGAACGGCTGTCGAAATTTTACATACATAATGGGACAAGACCTAAAATAAAAATCCAAACAACACCTCTTTATAGTAAAAATACAAGGTGCGTGTAACATCGACTGTTTAATTTTTGGATAGGGCATTATTGTCAATTGTTAAATTGCCATTTTGTTAATTTGATTTTTTAAATAAAAGAACACTTATTGTGGCATTACTATAATAGTTAGACATATGCTGTCACAAGACTTTTTGTAGATAATAATGCGTTCTACAAAGTCGTAGTACATTATTTTATTCTATCATCAATAGTTTTTGCAGGGCACGCAATGTAAAGAATATTTTGGGTAACTTTTTTATACCTTGGGTTACATTATTGGAGTTTTAATAAGGATCCCTAATTTTTTTCAAAAAAGATTATAGCCTATGTCACTCGGGAATAGTGTAGCTTCGAAACAGTGTAAGAATTTTTCTCTTATAATAACAAATCTTTCCTCTTTATAATATTAGTATAGAAGTATAGATTAATGAGCGGTATTTTGACATAAAACGATCTAAATTAATTCATATCACCCTAATTAGCCTTCCGGCATCTCATGCTGAAAGTAGCCTCTCTCACAAGATTCGCTACAGCTTGCGGTCCTGCGTTCCCAGCATTTCTGCGACCGTAATCATAATTAGTGAATATCGCGAATAACGGAAAATTTAAAAAGTTTTGTTTACTTTGCAAAAACATCATTAAAAATTGGTTAATTTTTAATCAGTTACACCTAGACTACGTTAGAGATACACACATGATTTACTGTCATATAATCGGACTGGTTTCGACCAAAGGCTATAATATATACTAGTTTCATTAAAATTTCAAGGTCACTAAGGAATTCAAATTTCGGGTCAAATTATTACATTAGTAAATCATATTGAATTACCTCAACATTCGCAAGTCGTATATTTACGGCTATAAGTGACGAAATAAGTTGCAAAACATTCGTTGATCAATGTAAGCGGTGACGATTAAAATCCTAAGCAAGGCTAAACAGTGAATCGCAAAAGCTAAGGACGAAGTAGATGCAAACACGAATGGAATTATAATAAGACCGCGTACGAACTTGTTTAAAGACATGCAATTTACAATGATAATAAGAAGGCAGTGATTCCAAAAAATGAGTATTTTTAAATAGGGAATCTATTAAACTCAAGAGACTTTTACTTTATGTAAACAGACTCTTTAACGAAATATTTATGCCATATAATTTCAAATTTACTAGTATACTTTCCAAACAGAAGTAAAATCTTACAACGCAGTACTTAAAGACTAAATATATACGACACTGAATCAAGTATGCATCATGAATAATAAAATGTTTTGCTGCAAAAACAACGACTGTTATGGAAGTCTTTGAAACACATAAACCTCTTTCCTGTGGCTTTGTTCAAATCGATCAAGTACAAATTCACAAATGAAAGATTGGTCTACAAATTAAATCATTTTCGTGTTCCGTAAACTCGAGAGAAAATGAGACGTTACCGGCATATAGCAAATAAACACGAAAAACTTACAAGATAACGGTTTTTGCAACCAACATTCTACTAACCTTCGCAAAGATTTTTTTACAATAAAATTTCTTACAAAAAAAATCGTTTGTGATGATACCTAATCTACATATTAATACGTGAAGCAAAAACTTTGTATCCCTTTTTACGAAAATTGCGCGGACGGAGAAGTATGAAATTTTCCACACTTATAGAGAATATAGAGAAGAAGTGCACAATGCTAATATATTTTTTAAATAATGCATAAAATATACATTAAATCAATAAAGAAAACATTACACACACTACATACCATGTATTTGACGCACGCACACATGCATACTATTTATTGTTAAACTTTTGTTCTTGGCGTCTGTTGTCAAATTGAGAATAGATTAAATATTGTTTACCTTTGTTAAAAAATTTTATAGTGTAGTCTTGGCCAAATTTGTGATTATAGAAGTATAAAATACAATCATAATAGTGTACAAACTTACAATTCCAATTAATTTTAGTCGAATTTCGACTACTGCGGGACCTCTAGTAGGTTTAATTATGGGAATTTTTACACTCGAGTACGGACCGTAATGACTAGCCCATGGCACAGAGATAGCTGATAAATAAGAAAGTTGTTTATGATAACGTGAACTAGAAAAGATGTACGATCATCGTTCCAAAGTACTGTTTGAAACTATTATATTGTACACTTTTACATTTTGGTGTCATTGAATAGGGACAATCGCATTTCTCTTCATCAAATTCTTTTACATTTTTAATTGTTAGGGCAATAGATTCATGTAGATTTATAAGCAATAGGTACTGTATTTCAGAAATTCTTTAGGGCGTTAATAGTAGGACAATTTAACAGATTAGTAGGCCACCTGATGTGTCTAAAGATCATTAACGTAAGATAAACATAGCTAATTAACCTAATTATATTGTGTTACAGAAATAATTACACGAATACTCTTAAAAATATAGAAAATGAGACATTAGGGTTTTGAGGTAAATTAATTTGAAAATAAATATTCTCTGAGGAATATTTCGGATAGTTAGTCATATGTGTGAATAGTTGAAAAGCATCCCAGATAACATCAGAAGGGTTTCAAAGAAAAATAATACCTCAAAACACAAACCGAATGAAAGTATTTAAGGCATTTTACATCAAGAGAATCCACATAATGTGCATTTAAAATAATCTTTATACAGTTAGTTTGTTTATTCAAAATTGTGTCGCCAAAATCAACCGTTTTGTGGGTAATTTCTGAAACAACAATATTTTAGACAATTTTGTTTTTCTAGATGATTCTTGATATGGGACCTCGATTTTATTGGTTAACCTTCGTTTTACAGAGGTCATCAAGAATTAGTGGACTATCGTAATTCTAACTTTGCATATCTGATTCTAATAATTTATATATCTTTGTTTTCTTTTCCAATATCTTGATTGTTGAATGCATTTCAAAACAGAATATAATCTGTGAGTAAAATGTTTTATTTGAAAATATTGCAGCCATTTTGATTTTATTATTTGAAATTTCATGACCAAAATTACTTAACGTTCCTTCCGTTTCAGCTTCGTAAAAAAAATATTGACTCTTCTTCAATGTGTGTGTGTGTGTGTGTGTGTTTTCTGTGTATTTAGGTGGTATTATATAAATTTTTTGGCAAAGTCGTTTCGTGAATAAATTCAAAATTACAGTATTTTTATAACAACAATTACATAATTGGCACTTTTTTTTAGTTTTATATTCGGTGAGTTATGCATTTACTGTAAATTTATAATTATGTTAATATATTCTTTGAACAAAAAAGAAGTTCGACGTTGTTTTATCAGACATAATTCTGCTAAAACATTGCCGAGAGACATTCGAGGTATTTTTTGGTCTTACCATATATAATAATATTTTAATTAGAAAAACCAAATAATGCATTCGATAGTTAAAACGTTAGTTGATTTTTTAATATTTCCGATGGAATTTATGAATAGAACACTTGAACAGACGCGGTAGGCGAAAATGAAGAAGGAATGTGATTTTTTATGTAACACTACCGGATCGCGAACGATAAATTACAGAACGCGAAACGTGTGCGCACGCGCGTTGTCGGCGCGATACTGATTCGTCGAACAGATTCTTAATTCGTTCGACAGAGTAGAAAATATGCCCGACACGCACATATACATTATACAATACGTGTGTCCTATTACCGACCTAACAGTGGTGCATGCTACCGAAAGAAATTAAAACTAAATGTGAACGCACTCATCTATTAGATATCTACTATACTAGTGGTCACCCGGTAGTCGAAATCCGACTTTAATTAATTGAAATTATAAGTTTGAACATTAATATACTTCTATAATGACAGATTTCACGAAAACTACACTATAGGCAAATAATATTAAAGACAAATAATTCAGACAAAAACTTTAAACAATAACAAATGTTCCTATATATATGTGTTTTGTCAAATACATGATAGTGTGTGTAATGTTTTTTTTAATGATTTAATGTATTATTTATGCATAATTAAAAAAAAAATTAGCATTCTGCACACCTTCTCTTTAAACTGTATAACTGTGGGATATTTTATACTACTCCGTCCGCGCGATTGTGGTACAAAGGGGTATATACAAAGTTTTTGCTTCACGTATTGATTAATATATAGATGTATATTCATCGGCATCCTAATCTTGCAATTTTTAATAAAATTAAGAAGCAAGACGTATGTGTCTTTGTGTGATAATATATTAAAAGTACATCGTATATTTCATTTAAAAATAAATGTTAATTGCGCGCGTAATTTAGCAGCAAGCACGGTTCATCTAACTAACGGCTCTCTTACATCAGCCCTAGTAGTGCTAGTTGGACATCACGCGAACAAGTCATTCCGAATTTGTCAACAAAAAATAACTGAATACGAGTGTGGTCAGTGAAAACGAACGTTTGCTTGCAACAACGTATGTCGTGAACGAAATTTGTTAAATAAGGATTGTAATTCGAAGATTTTGAAGACTCTCACCCGCTACTTTTTCTTTCGTGACTGGAGGCATATTTCATTTTAATACAAATAGCTTTAGGAAGAATCAAACTTCTTTTTTTATTTATTTTTTATGATTGAGGGATTACTGGTGGCCCAAACGCCTTTCCAGTTTCACCAGGATAGGTGAGCGAGCAAAGGCTCAGTCGGGAGGGGTGAGATTTGGCTAACAGCTGCCCGAGCTCCTCCAAGCTTCTAACCTAACTCGCCCATACAAATTATACACACCAATAGTTTTTTTTTTTTTTCTACCTATGCTGATAGCCTTGAGAGGCTATTTCAGCTTCTCCTTGACGTGTAGTTGAGCTCACGGGGCTCAAACTAGGAGTGTTGCTAACACTGGCTCTAGCAAGAGCAGTGCTTGGCAGAATCTACCACCGGATCGGAAACGCGACCCACTGAGAAGATCCGGCGAGAAACTCAGTGGGCTGTGTCTATGGGTTAATTCACTCGTCGAGCCCTTCGTCGCAAGCGACAGGTTCGACGAGGATGTGACCGGGGTTTCTTATTTTAGTTCATCAACGTGATGTTTAAAACTAATTAATATTTAATGAAATTAGGTCTCCGCCATCATCTGAAGTCGTCGTGTCCTAAAGGATAAGACGTCCGGTGCATTCATGTTGAGCGATGCACCGGTGTTCGAATCTCAAGGGGGTACCAATTTTTCTAATGAAATACGTACTCAACAAATGTTAACGACTGACTTCCACGGTGAAGGAATAACATTGTGTAATAAAAATCAAACCCGAATAATTATAATTTGCGTAATTACTGGTGGTAGGACCTCTTGTGAGTCCGCACGGGTAGGTACCCCCACCCTGCCTATTTCTGCCATGAAGCAGTAATGCGTTTCGGTTTGAAGGATGAGGCAGCCGTTGTAACTATACTTGAGACCTTAGAACTTATATCTCAAGGTGTGTGGCGCATTTACGCTGTAGATGTCTATGGCCTCCTGGAACCACTTAACACCAGGTGGGCTGTGAGCTCGTCCACCCATCTAAGCAATAAAAAAAAACTACATCCCTCCCCCTCTAACTAAATATCCTTAGTCCCTGCAGCATAGTTTACTGTCTAACTCGTTCGAATTGTGTTTTGAGTGTAAGGAAAGTAAGGTTGGATCACAGTGAAGCAATCATGCATTTTATTTCAAACCATAGGATAAGTCAGCTATTATAGCTATATTATTTAGGTGGCATAAATTATGCACTGTCTTTCTTTTTAGCATCGTTTATTTTTGATCCAACCCATAGCGTACATCAAAACACTTCATAATTTACGATCATTACCAGTTCACCGTCGAAGCCGATCATCATCTCTTTGTGTGGATAAAGTGAGTATATCCAGTGACCGTAAACGGTACACAATTGCTAACTTGTCCGGTCCCTGGTCATGTAATTGGACAATACTGACAGTAATTGATAGCCCTCGAATGTACATCTACACGCAACAGTGTACTGTAGATTGAACTAATAAGGCTTTAATAGGTTTTAATCGGAATCGTAATAATGGTATCGATTTTTTTGTGAATTTAATCGATTTTTACGTCCGAAGACCGGTCTTGGTTGATGAGGTATATTTGTGGATCTACTCAATGTTTCTATGAAACAGGAGCCGAATCGAACTTACAATACTAAAAAAAAAAAAAATTAAAAAAAATAATATGTAATATAGTTTTTTTTTATTGCCCTTGTAGGCAGGCGAGCATACGGCCCACCTGATGGTGAGTGGTTACCGTCGCCCATGGACTTCAGCAATGCCAGGGGCAGAGCCAAGCCGCTGCCCACCGATTAGAAGCCGCGCGTTCGATACTAGGTATTTTCCTACCTATTTACGACGAAGTAGTGATGCGTTCCAGTTACAAGGGTCGGGATAGCCGTTATTCCAATGTCCAAAAAATGTTTACATTGATAACGATTTGTTTATACGGATTGTGTAATAAATTTTATTGACACTTGAAAATTTATAAGTATTATTATCTGCTGATAGTTGAAGTATCGGGCAACGTGGGACAACAACCGATTCCTTTCAATAGCACTTAACGTTAATTATTTACACCTGAATTTCGGTGATAAGATAACAATGTCCTTACCTTAATCGAATTCGATAATGGACGAAAACAAAAGCATACATAATTGAACTTTGAACATTTACGCGTCAGGAAAAAACAATATAAACAATGAATTTACTTTAAACCTTAAACCTTCCAGTCCTGGATTGCATAATGTTCGTAAGAAACCAAATATTTCCTCAGTTTTTGTTGTTGTATGAATCAAAATTATATTTAAACATCTCTTGATCAGAGAATCTTATTGAAAATACTCTGCTATTGATAATTTAGATAATCAGATCGGTTTAGGAAAGTAAAGCTCGTATTCTAACGTAGAATAATAATATGTAGAGGTTGCATAATGCGTTTTAACGAATTTTATCAATTGCCACAATTTACTATATATTAGTTAGGATATAAGATATAGGACCTTTTAAAAATAACAAATTTGATTAAATTACTAAAAGACCACGCCCTACGAATATCGAATACTATACGCCTTTCATGACATTCTGATTCGCGATTAGACATCGCGATTCATGAAAACCTAAGTAAGAATTAAAATTTACTAATTATGCTTCTTTTTCTTGTTTGCTTGTCAACTCTAAGATGTGTTCCAAATAATAATGAAGTAGCAATTGAACATTTGCAGATGCCTTGCGAGTTTGTAATCTGTGCCATCTTAGTTAATGATGCCTCTGAACCACGAATGCGATCTTGAAACTTGATATGAACAGGTTAAGTGTGTTCGGGTGTAACCTATCATTTGAGAAGATTGAACATCCGATGAACTACAACGACGGATGGAAAGGATGTGATGTTAATTAAATTTATTTGTAGGAAAAAAAAAACGCGCAAAGATGTACTTAAATGTCACTTAAGATATTTGCTGACGATAACAAGATCAAGTTAGAGTCGTTTTATGCGAACAAATCAAGTTCCCGTTTTATTTTTTATTGCTTAGATGCGAGCTCACAGCCCACCTGGTGTTAAGTAGTTACTGGAGCCCATAGACATCTACAACGTAAATGCGCCACCCACCTTGAGACATAAGTTCTAAAGTCTCAAGTGTAGTTAAAACGGCTGCCCCGCCCTTCAAACCGAATTGCATTACTGCTTCACGGCAGAAATAGGTAGGGTGGTGGTACCTACCCGCGCGGGCTCACAAGTGGTCCTACCACCAGTAAAGTCGTGCAGCCTATGAGCGGATATCTTCAGTAATCGAGGTAACACCACTCACGGTATTGACACAGGAATCAAGTTCAGTCTCGACCGACTTCAGTCAGACTTCGATCGGTACTGGCAGGTGTAAGGTAAGCACAGCTAGTATAATGCCACCGCACATAGGGCACAGCCTCCGACCTAGAGCACTTATGTACTAGAAGCCATGTAATTGCGCCAACGATATTTACAGGATAATCATAATCCATGCGTTGGCCAGCTGAGTTTCTCGCTGGATCTTTTCAGTGGGTCGCGATTCCTATCCAGTAGAAGATTCATTCGTGAAGCAGCTGCTCTTGAGTTGTTAGGTCTCCTTTGGAGGCGTTCGGACATCTATTAGCAAATACCACTCCTTCTGACTAAGCCCGTGCTCACCCACCTGTCCTTGTGAAACTGGAAAAGCCTTCGGGCCACCAGTGATTCTTTCTTTAAAAAAAAAAAAGAATTTTCTTACACATTTACGGTAACTAGTCAATATCAGGAACTTCGTTTCTGTTTTCCGACAACAGTAAGGGTTACATAATTGACACACAGACATAAGTGCCACCAGGGGGGTGCAACTCCCATACAAAGGAAAATAACATACAACTAGCGTCATCTTACTCCTGTGGCGACGTCATTTTTGTAACTTTTAGGCATTAATGATCTAATAAACTCACTAGATGGCAGATATGAGTTCTGACTCAATAAAAAATGTAGCGTACTTTGAAGCAGTGCTTCCACTTTTAGGGAATTCTCCCTTTTTTNTTTATACAATTGTACGTTCATACTATCTTTTAACAGTAAATTGTTTGT